TTCACCTTGAACGTGGATAATCCATACAGTCTCGTTGTGTGAACGGTTTCAGGGGAGACGTTTGTGATGTTGGTTATAAACTCCTCTAGATACCTGCAGGCCTGCTCCAGGTGGGTGGTGTTAATAATGATCTGCACCAGCTACAAAAACACATGTAGAAAGTTGTTAAGTTAATCCACAAAAAAAACTCTACGTTTAGTCAATGTGTAGCATGTTATGCTAGAACCTCAGTCAGTCCAATGTGAGGCTTTTTGATGAGGTTTTGCAGACAGCAGCTGAGCGTTCTCGTCAGCAGCAGGTTGGTGGATTTTCTCAGCATGTCATCAATTTCTGTTGAACTGGAAGAACATACGTACACAGAAATGGTGGGTCACAATCACAAAGACGGATGGAGAGAGACAGTGTGTGTATGTCAGGTGTACTGTGTGGTACCTGCGATGTAATGACTCTGAGAACTTGAGGCTGGCGTAAATGAACTCTTTGACCTGTGTGTAGATCTGAGGGACAGACTGGGACATCGGCAGCTTCTTTGGAAAGTCCTGCTGCTCATGAACACAGATGGTGTTACAGAAAAGTCATCAACCAAGACATATTGATAGATACATATGTATATACTAACTGCTTCACAGCCAATCTAAAGACTTTCAAAATAGTATGTATAGAGTCAGTATATTTTAAATGGGGCTGTGAAAAGAATTTGGAGTTATTAAGTTTATTAAGTTATTAATTACAGGGTAGCTGTGGATAATCACAATTATACATGATTAATCGTGATCATACAAAATCATGATTACATTTCATTAATCAAGATAAGATAAATAACATTCCTGAATATGTCAAAAATGTAATTAAAAAAATGTAATTAAAAAACAAAAAAATTAGAATTTTGTGAACTTAATCTTTCCTAAAGTGCATACCTTCTCTATCTCTGCGTCATGGAAGGGAAATCGACTGACAACCAGTCTGTATTCTTCTTCTGTCTCCACGGGGATTGGGCTGTAGTTGTCCAACTCAAAGATCTCCCTAGGAATAGAAGCATTTTCACAATTACATCTCTCTTTTTCTTATAAGGGGTTTATACATTATTTTAATCATATGAAGAACATAAGTGCATAGACATCTCTTTCTACAATACAAACATCAGTGTTAACCCATGGGTCTTAATCCACTGACTTCACTTTATTTTTTACATCCAGCTCACCTGAAAACCAGGGCCCACTTCTTCAGCAAGGTTTCGTTGTACTGGTCTCTGACCTCAAACAGCAGGTCAAACAGACGGTTCACTGGGAAACCATAGTCCTGTTCTCACACACACACACACACACACACACACACACACACACACACAGGAAGCCAAGTGTGTTCAGAACAGTTGTTCTGTGCAGAACCAGCAGATGTTCACAGGGAGAGCAGCTGTGTACAAACCTGTAGTGTGTCTGCAAAGATGACAATAAGGTTTTTCAGTTCCAGGACCAGGTCTGGGTCCTCACAATAAGACTGAGAAGAAAACATAGTCAACAGTCAATAAACAGTCAATTTAAAGTGTTAATTAAGTTAATTATTAAGTTAATTATAGGCCAGGTAGGTTTATCTTTTACAACCTTTTTGTTACTGTGGATCAATTTGTGCAGATTTAAAACAGATAATTTATACATCTAAGCATGTGTCAACACAGTGCTTTGGAATAGTTACAGGCTAAATAAGGTTTGTGTATTTCACATTTTTGGCCTTTTAAGGTTGCTTACATTCATAAATATATTAGAACATGTGCAGTTGTTTTCTCCGTGTAACTTTTGCTTATACCTGCTGCCTTTAAGTGACTAGCAGTTTGCTACATTTACAACTCTAAAAGTGCTTTTGTAATTGATATGCTTTACATTAAACTTAAGGGGAAGTCAATGCATTTCAGGGACATTGTACTCATTGACTGTGCTAATTATTGTCACAGCTACACTTGTAAATTTCGAGGATGACGCGCTGATAGATAAAGCCTGTCAGGAATAACAGCAGTTAGTAATTGGGAGGGGCTCAGCCCACACCAAGACAGTCCCCTCTATTTTTGGGGAGTGATTTATGACCCTGAAAACAGAAGCAGTGGACTCCCTTAACACTACTGCCACAAGTATCCTGCCAAACACGGGGAGGGTGTAAATCAACAGGGTGAATCAACACAGGCAGAGATTTGAAGTAAAGCAGCGGCTGCCTGCCTGTCTGTTTACTCAGACACACGCAGACACACAAACATGTCAACAATTAGCTGCAGGCTCTGCTAAACAGTAGCTCATCAATGCAGTGTCACGCCTCTTTCACACCCAGAAAAAAATATAATAAAAAACCATTAAAAGTATTTGGATTCTATACCTTTTTGGCTCTTTTTCTAAAGGTTTGAAGGGTTTTTATTGGTACTCAGCAGTGAAATTAATTAATTTCAGTGTCACAGTCACCCTGTCAGTGTTTTTGTTTTCATCGTCTCGTGATGACGCAACCCGAAGAAAAAAATATTTTCATTCTCAATGATGGTTATAACTCCTTCACTTCTCTAGTGTACAACAGATATATGGAATATTTGTTTCTATAAGTTGTCCTTAAAAAAAGTTCACAGTAACTACAAATACAAAGTATATTAACAGTTTTTTAGGTGATCATCCCATGGATACAAGACATTTCTAGCATGTCACGGCCTGAGCTGTGGCTCAGCAGAGGGGCTACAAGCCCGGGGGGGCATGGATCCATTGTGAAGTCTCCTCACCCCTCACTGTGTGGCCCATTCTCTAGCCTGTTAGCATAATCCCCTGGGTCATTTACAACTGACTAGGACCCAGTGTTCTAGGAATATGCCTTCTTAATCTGCGGTTATTGTTGCAATCTGTCTCTCATTAAGGCCCCAATGACCTGCTCTTTGGCTGCATGCGTATGTGTGTTTTGACCTCTTCTCTTGTGAGTGACATCATTGGTTTGTTAGTGGGTGTGCTGACCTCCACAGTGGCCTCTGTGGGTGTGTGTGTATGTGACACAGAGAGTGAATGAAGGTTCTTCCAGGATAAATAGATCCACAGCAGGCTCTATTATCACTTAACTTTCAACAGTCTTCATCTTATTTAAGGCCAGCTCCCTGCTGGCATTGTCTGTGTGTATGTGTTAATGTATGTGTGTGAGACCAATGCTATCTGTGCTAGTCAGGACGAGCTACATCGTATATGACTGTTCTGTTATCTACAGTTTGTCTTTTTATAGATATTAGGTTCAGTGGAAGTTTTTTCAAGCAGGAGGAATTTGGAACAAGGATTTAGTTTCACTGAGGTTAAAAAGTTTTCAAATTTCAGACACTTATTACCTTATATTTTATAATGGTAGAAAAGTAGAAACAGTTTAAACAAATGCCAATAAATTAATCTCAACAGGTTTTTGTTAAATATGTTTATGGTGATGGCTTTTTTGCTATGTGTGTGTGTGCGTGATGGCACCTACAGAATGTGTGCGGAGAACAGCGATGATCTTAGACAGGGCCATGTTCCACAGTTCGTCAGTGAAAGCTCTAGTCACCAGCCCGTATGTGGCATGAAGGATGTGATCCTCCACAACAAAAAACCTGGTCAGAGATACAACAGTTTGCTTAGTGGAATGTAGAAAGACGAAAAATTCAGAGACAATGAAATGAAGATGTGAACCATCTCACCCTACGATCTGATTGAAGTATCGCCTGTAGCCTTCAACTGTCTCGTGCTGAAGAAACACAAATATATGAATAATAATGGAAGCAGTTTACGTCATATGTACAAATGATGAGAAATTGATGATGAAATAGTACCTTCATCATCTTGGTACATGGGAGACTGTGTTCTATGTGCACTCACCATGTTTGCCTGTGGCTGCAGCACCAGCCTGGCCTGTTTTTTTCTCTGCTTCCTGTAGTAGTTTTCAAATGTTTCTCTGTCACCCTGCAGACACATACACACACACACACACACAAAAACAGATTTAAGTTATAAAAAGATCAGCTGTTGTGTAAAATAAACGGTTAAAAAAATGTACACTTGTGAACTGAAAAATAATGTCAAGTAAACTTACCAGCACAGTGTAAATGTGTAAACATCTGTAGACGGGTGAGAAGTCTACTAGGTCCTGAACTGTGAGAACCTGTCAAATGCACAGGCGATAAACAATTTTGTCCAATATTTCTGCTTAAAAAATGCAACCTTTTTCTTCACAGGCATTTACATTAGGTGGTTAAAAGTATAAAACATAAGAGATGCATGTTTTGTCATTACCTCATCGTCCACTTCGTCGTCTTCTCCTGCGTCGTCCTCCATCTTCAGTCCATTGTGAGTGTGTGTTCGTCCATTAAGAGAATACACAGGCTTAGCAAAGTGGCCCGAGCTAGCCTGCTTCACTACCACACTGTTGAAGTTCCTGTGCAGCTGTGCCTGGAGTGACATCACACAGAAAGTTCAGCTGGTGCATATGTGTAACAATGACAGAGAGAAATCTTTGACCATCAAACCCTCATACCTGTCTCATGGCAGCCTCTCCAACCTTGTCAGAATGTTTTCTAATGCTTTCAAGGAAGTCCTTGAGGTCGGACATGGATATTTCCTTGATCTCTTCTCTCAGTCTGGGTAGATTTTCAGCCATGATTTGACAGAACCTGTACTGCCCCACCCTGAATCGACCCAGATGAAGATTCAGTTGAGATCAGCTAAAGTTGTACTGAAGATTTAGGAGTTCAAACACATTCTATGGGGAGATGGATTTTAACTTTGGAGCTAAAGGGCTATAAAATTGTATTTGGGACTATTCCATCTTTAAGCTGCAAGGTATTCTGAGGATTAACAAAGCTCATATCTTATAGAGATAATATTACCTGGGAATATAGACCTTCTCTAGCTGCTCCATGGTTTTTAAGGCAGCATAGTATCTGCAGGCAAAAGAAGAGAAGCATCCTGTTCACTTGTGTTAATAAGAAACCTGTCTGTCCAGGCACAGACATAGGCCTGTCATGTCAACACCATTATTGTCATTTCTCAAAAAGAGTGCCAAACATACAATGTCACTTTGCTTTGCATTATCCTGAAAATCCTGTTTTGGATTTGTTTGAGTAGCATTAGTTAAAGTGGATGAGTTTAAATATTTTGGGTCAACGATCCAGAGTAATGATGAATGCATAAGAAAGGTGAAGAAAAGGGTGCAGCAAGGTGGAATGGATGGAGACATGACATGAGCAGAACAATGTTAAATCATCTGCCACATTATATGCAGTTCAGGGACTTTTTCTTTGTGTCATTTCTCAGAACGAAAACTGTGTTCTGAAGAAATTGAGGTTCACCATAGTTTGCACACATCACCAGGGTTCAGCCTTGGGTCAGTGTGCTGGGCTCCCATCGTTAGACTAACAGGCAGGCCCTGAACACATCTAGTTGGTCGGTGAGTGTGTGTTAAATGTGTTGTTTCCGCTTCAACAGAAGGGAACACATCAACTTTAAATAGTGAAGGTTTGTCAGAGTGCAGGACACCATCCAGGACAGAAGGCATAAAAGCTGCCAAGAGGCAGAAGAATGGAACTGAATGTGACCTGGTTGTCAGCATAAACACTTATATATAGCTGCAGTGTATAAGCCATGTCATTACTGCCTAAAGGACCCTGCACGCACACACATCCCACAAGGTGACCAGAGTGGTCTAATTGGCTGTGACAGTGCTGAAGTGAGGGGCCTTGTTCTTAACAAGGCTACACTGAGGGTCAATTGTCCTGCCAGAAAATGGCCTCTTCCTTTGATACGCATTAATGAACAAGAAAGAGTCATTATTTTCCTGTCTGAAGTGAACTCTCCTCTCATCTTATATAGAAACACGTAAATGTGGACAAACACCAAGTTCATGGGGTAAAGAAAAGTTCAGCCAAACCCAGGAAGAGGTGACAAGTTAGTGGAAAAACCTAAAAGTGTTGACTGTGGATGAATTAAAATGCTTTATTTGTATCTGGATTTCAATTGGTAAAATGAGGTATAAAATACAAATTAAAATCTGGAAACAACGTTAATATGGAATAAAAACATTGATAAAAAAATGATAAAGTGACAAAATGAGCAGAACAGATAGAAAATAGCAACGAACATTTTGATGTGCCAAAAGAACAGCCAACTTTTCTTTATTCAAAACATTAAAATGTTATAAAGAAAAAGTTGATTAAATTAAATATAATCACCAATTATAGCAGAAATAGCTCGAACAGACAACAAATAGCTTTGTTGGCCAATAACTTAAGTAAAAAAAACATAAGGCTAAAGATGGCTAAATATTTACAATATAAAATACAACTATAAATGGATGAAGCTAGAAATTGACAAGCTTAAAAAAAAACAAACAGCAAACACAAGGTGTTGTATTTAACATTTAACAGCATACAGTAGATGTTACCTTTTAGATTCCAGCTGCTCCTTTAGTTTGCTGTACATTTCTAGTACTGTAGAATGAAACAAAGTAAGAGAAAAAATTAAAAAGATGTCACTATTATTTATAACTTTGTATCAAAAAGTTATTGGTAAAGCTTTCCATATGCTATTTCCATTTTAGCTGGCTGTTGGTGACACAATCAGCTGGATTTTCCATTATTTGTGTTGTATATTTACCACAAACCTTGATTATTAATCACATTAATGGGAACCTAAAAGAGGTCACTTTCTTCATTTGACTAATGTGAGTGAATTAGTTCTGGCATTTCCACTGTTTCCTTCTATAATTGATTGCACTAAATTAGCCTTTTGTGATAAGATAGAAAGCATTCAAACACACTTATTTCACATTCAAATGGTCAGATAAGATCTTATCTGAGATCAGCTGGGTGTGTTACCTAATTAGGACAATTAGGTACACACAACACACACACAACATGTGCATAATGTTAAAAATAGTTCTGCGTAAACACTTAAAAAAGTGTAAAAAGTGACCTTCTCTCCGACATGCAGTCAGCTGCAGTACCTGGGATACAGAGCTGGAGCTTCTCAACCGTAGTGGCCATGTTTCTCTGCTGGATCCGACAGCATATTACCTCCTGCGTCTGGGCTGTCACCTGAGGGAAGGAACATGCAATGGAGGGAGACAATGAGGGAGAGGTCGTCACCACCAGCGTTACTGGCTGGGTTAAAGAACGGTCATGTCTGAGGCAGAACTGTCTCATCAGTTTATAAGACTGCGTGAGTTCTGACAGTCAGCACAGTCAAATGTTACTGCATATTCATGCATAAGGGCCCAGAGACAGAAACGAGGCCAGGCTCTGAACCTGATGTCCTGAGAATGTCAGGAACTCTCTTTGAAATTCTCACAAAGGAAGCGTTTATTGACACACACACAGACACACACACACACACACACACACATATATATATATATATATATATATAGTGAACTGCTTGAAAGATTATTTTCAGTAGCACATGTATTACTATTGTTACCTACTGATGATCACTAATGATTCGTTAGGAAATGAAATTGATAAAATTAAATGAGAATATTAGCAAATGAAAACTAAGGAAAGCAAAACATTAACCAAAACATAGCTTGAATTTAGCCTAGAAATAGGTTTACAGTCACAAAAATTTAGCTACAATTTAGATAGTTGACTTAAAGTTAGACTGGGAACAGGTAAATGTTATCTAAAAGAAAGAAAACATTTGATAAAACATCCCATAATTGATCCATAATTGATAATTTGCCCAGACTTACATCCCTCCCAGCTTCTTGTAGTCTTCGATTAGTGTCTGTAACTTGACCCTAAAAACACAAACACACACACACATAAGTTCAACTGTTCACTCCTAATGTGTAACTTTGAATTTAAGTACCACTTATATTTACTTACACAGAACTGCTATTGTATCCAATACATTTATATGTGTCTCATTATCAACATAATATAATTATAATAATACTAATAATAAGAGACAAAAAATCACATCCCCTATGACAGACATTAATTTTGATTGTTTTTGATATTTATTCACAATTTGATATATTGTACCGTATTTGAGTGATTGAATCAGTATTAGTCAGAGTTAAACATGTTGTCACGTCTCTCTGCTTTCTCCCTCCATCTGTGCTCCCTCTCTACCTCCCACCCACCACACAGTAGCTCAGCCTTGTAATAAGCTCATTGTCAACCAAAGGGCAAGAGCTTGGGCTGGAACATTTGAATTAACCAGGCAGTGGAGACCTGAACTCATCACTGGTGCACTGATGGCTTGTGACGGTTCTTTTCTCACAGATTGTGACAAACCTGACAATTCCAAGGGAATCTTTGAACCCTCTGCTGCCGTCACACAGCTACATGCCATGACCCAATTGAGTGGTCGGGTTTTTTGATGATTCGTCCAACAGTGAAGCTTTCAGATGAAACAGACAGATTGCATAAATGACTAATCGTTTTCATCCTGTAATGGTTTGGCACCAGATCAAAACTGAACCGTAACCTAGCTATTTATAAACACAGTGTCATCACTAATAAAATCTGACCCACTACAAAAAGGGAGAAATAACCAGTGGGACGTCAGTTTAAATGTTTTCACCATGAGTTTTTCTGCATCTGTGCGGACTTTGAGGAGCTCCGTGATGGCGTCCACAAAGCCTTGGTGGTGGAAATTGCACATCTTCTCAATCTCACGGTCATGGTTTCTTATCCTGGCGTCCAGCTTTTCCATAAAACGCTTGTGGGCATTGGGCTGGTCATCGTAAATAGACCTGAATGAAAGAAAGAAGGTGAGAATAAAAAAGAGCCAGAACAAAAGCAAATCCATCAACTCTAAGCCTGTAAATGCACGAAAACCCATGAAGTGAGTCCACGATTCAGAGATAAGGAAACATCTTATGATATTGAATCATTGCTGAAAACTGCTTCACAGCAACCCAAAACCCACAGTAGAATTGCTAAAATGCGTGTACCAAATTTGGCCTGTACTTTCTAAACTAACAGGAACTTGGCCTTTTTTTGACACATGTAACATATCATTTCAGATTGTTTAACACTTAAACAAAAAGAAGAAACCAATCCATTTATAGTGATATAACTGTGACTAAAATTATATTCTGAAACAGGAAATGGCAGTGAGCATTTTCACAACTACAGTTAATCTTTTTTTGTAAGTTAGCATATATTGACATATAAAAGGGAAGGAAAACCGAAACGTCACGTCAATGTCATCAATATTTTGTGAATGCACTAGTAACAATGCAGTAAAGGTGAACTTCACGTGGACTTCTATTCAACATAACTGGTGTTCTACATTATTCTGAAAACTGTTGTTAAGTTGTTGCAGTGTTAAAAATCATCTCCGTTCAGATTTAAAAACAAAGATAATAAGTAATTATTTTTAATTTAAAATGTAATGCACAGAAAACTATTGAGAAAAGATCAATGTCTTCAAAACAGTCTCCGGGAGCGCATCCTTTAACATTCCTTGTATAACAGTGCCATCTAGTGGAGACATTAAGCGGTATCTCGAACGGCCAGAAAAAAAAGGCTTTTTGAACAAACCTGTTCACACTACATACAACACAGTAAAATTGTGATTAAGTCAAAGAATAAATCACTGTTGAATTGGTTAAAAAAATTAAAACAGCATTTAAAAATGACATGACAGGCGTCCTCTTTCCTGCCATTAATAATTGAAAGCAGGTGTTTGCTGAAACAAGTACAAGATTTCTTCCTGCTTCCTGTCAGGACAGGAAACTAACTCTAGTCACTGCAATGCAAACAATATGCTTCAACACTATTCACGTCAACATGTCATCTATCAGTCATCTCAGCAACCCCAATGTGGGATTTTTTTTTTTACAACTTCCATGTGTTATGCTACATTCCAGAAAACTCAGGAGACTATATACTATAGGGTAGATGTTCCAATTTATTTGGTTAAGATTTTTTGTAATATTCTAAATGATACGTAGGCAAGTTTGCACTTGACTTCAGGGGAATAAATGTTTAGTCTTTTACACTGATAGTGAGCCATAAAGAAGTATTGTTAACAAAGATTGGTCCCAGACTGGACTTTGGACAGGCTGGACAAGCCCGCTTCTTTAACACTGAGCATACACTGAATTTTCAAGGAGAGGCTTGGAAAATAAAATGCAACAGTTTGTTTTTTAAGACTTCTGGTTATCTGTGTCATCAGTTCAAATTACACTTAGTTTCAGTAATTTGAACTTACAGAGTTTCACCTCTTTTTTGTTTATTTGGAAACTGACCTCCAAGCACTACTGCCTTGAGAACATACTACAGTATACAGTACACTAAAAAGCAAAATTGTTACTTGATATCACTGACATAAATTTGTGACCATACAACTAACTGTACCATGTTGTCTATAAATGCTTTTCTTTCCAATGTAGGAGATTGCCTTGTTTATATCTTCTGTGGTTATCCTTAAAAATCTTTGACATCACTGTAAAGAAAATCTTGACCAAAGCATTAAGTGCAGAAATCATTCACACTGAACAACCAGTTCTGTAACTAAATGGCCTCTGCCAACCCGGTCACATGGTGAGTCAAATGAATGCAAATGTCTCTACCTTTCAGGATGATTTAGTTTAAGGCAGGGTTGTTTGTTTAAGTTTTCTTTCCTATTGGCAAATATTGTTCTTTAGCATAAGATACAGCAAATAATGAAATGCAACGCAGACCAGGAATTGTTTAAAGGAATGCACATTGACATGATGACAACCAAGAAATCACCATTAAACCAGTTAATTAAAATAAATAAGTTTCGAACTGTTCTTCACGATGCCACAATAAATATAATTAAAATAAAAAGACATTACATTACACATGCCTGTGTTCACAGCCACCCACTACGAACAATTAAGGGATTTTAATGTAAGGTGAATAGCAACGTTTGGTGTTTAAATAATACTCTTCTTATTGAGTGGACAGAAATACAGGAAGCAGGACTTGAATACAGGAAGTCGATCCCCAATTATATGGCCTGTTTGCACTGTGTTTGGGAGACAGACAGGAACTAATACTATCATTTACAGCTGAAGTCAGTTAATTAACACACTAATATGTCCAATAAATGTCTCTCGCTGTGGCCTTAAATACTGCCACAACCTACGCAGCATTTCGCACCACGTTAGCTCATGTCAGTGCTACATCAAATTTGACCCACGTATATTGACAAGGTGAAAACATTTTAATGTAATAACAAAACAACATCAAAAAGTCAGATTCATAAATCTGTACTAATGCCACATGACAGAGGAGTAAACTTTCTAATTTATCTCTTAAGCCAAAAGGAGGAACTAACCATAACCGTTAACTAACATCAGAGATGTTCTCAACCACACCCACAAATGATGTTTACATTAATGACAGGTCACCCTGTATACGTCAGAACAGAAGGTGTTCGGAAAAACGCACACTGATTAAAATAATTGTGATATATTTTAATGGCTGTAATTTTGCTCAGTGTGAGCTATTAGCCTGCTAGCTCACAGTCTCATCTCTGTTCAACCTCATATAGTGAAGAACAGATACTATTGGTGTTAGCTGCCGGTGGCTACGTTAGCTCGACTAGCTCACGAACAAAAGGTCTATCCGCGTAATAAATATGGCCATAAACATAAAGATTGGGACATTTGCACTTTTTGTGAGAAACGTTGTTTTCTCACCGAAGCGTGGGACCGACACAAGCCGTGTCGGTGCTTTCAATTTCCTGCAAAATCCGCTCGTGCTCCGTTATACACTCCAGGGTACCAGTGTCCGCCATGATTGTTGTGTGTGTATTGTTGCTGCTTCTGCTGTCGTTAATGCCACACTGCAGCTATAGCTGCAACGGTGAATCGGGTAGACATCCAACCCGAGGAGGGCGCTCTCTATAGCTGTCATGTCACAGATTTTATTACACTATTTAATTAATGCAAAAATATGTAGTTCCAGAAAGTAGGTACTTGTTCGTGACAAAACGTCACAAACCAAATAATATATCAAGAAAAATGACATGTTAGTTTACCGAAAACATTGTGCTTTTTTGAATAAATACTGTGATTGCAGTCAATTGTACTGTAGATCTTTCTATAACATAGTTTTAATTACACATGAAGCGCATTTATTAAATATATAATTTGATTTATACATTTTATTAATATTCTAGAACTTTTCTGCGCTAACTTTTAGATATTTTCCTGGCTATCTAAAAAGCTATTAACTTAGGTCAGTGATATTCTTGATATCAAAACAATAATATAGTTTGTTAACTTCATACTAAATACTTATTTTATATTTTGGTGGCTTTTTAGCCATTTATTATTTTGTTATCCTTTGAATGTCTTCTCTTGCTCTATCTCTTAGCTCAATGCTATGCATTTCCATATAATTATTAGTACACTTTATTAGTAGTACAATTTAAAGAACTGCATTGGTTTTAAATACTAGAGACCTGACAGAAAATATTGGTCAATAGAGTGAATTTGAATTTTTGTTTAAATAATTTTGTCCCATTTTCCATATTCCATAGTGTAATGCAAGTGTTTCTTGTTGTTCAAAATACATTTTTTTATTTACAAAATTATTTTTATTTTTCTGATGATAATTACTACAACAACCTTCTGGATTTACAAATATTCATTGATCAGAATTTAAATCAATGTCAACATTTGACCAATCAGCGGTAGCCCATGTTTGTGATAGAGATTACCTCAAGGTGGTTCCCAGTGGCAGATCCACTGATTCTAATTCTGCAAAAATATTCCCAAACACCTTCTCCTCTTCTTTACTGTTGTCATCATTTTGCCTGGGAGGTTCAGGCAAGGCAGCATGAACTCTATCTCTGGCCATTTCTGTGTCCACACACTCATGTGTATTGGACTAGGATCTCAGTGAGTGAGAGAGACAACACCAGGAGCTTTGAGTAGAGTGTGTGAGAGCAGGATGAATTCTAGGGCACCTGCTGTGGTCAGCAGAAAAAGAGGTGCAACAGGAAACAGAGACCTTGTGATTTACTGGACTTTGAAACCAATATTTTCAGTAGCTTTCTGTGTTTTAATGTTGTCCGCCTTTTATAAAACCACAATATAATGTTGAGAAAGGTGATTGTTATACAAAAAGGTGATTTTTTTAAAAGAAATTCATCAAATCTCTGAACATATCATGTACATGTTGTCAGCCATGTACTACAAATAATTAATGGTACAACAAGCACATCACATCAACATGTATGACAAACAGAAAGGTGACTGCATTCTCTTACATTATGTTTTGGAGTGGAGCAGCAGGCCTTGACCAGCCTACACAACCACTTTCTATTTCCTGCTATTCTTCTACAGAATGAATTGGGCCATTAGGAGTGTGGACGTCGTAGCTGACAATAAGCTCTTTACAAAAGCCCTGACTATGAGCTTCCTTATTGCTCTACCCAAAACAAGAAGTGACTCACATGTGCACACCCACACACACACACACACAAACAGAAGGGGAGAGAGTGGAGGGAGAAAACAAGAGAGAATAAATAGATTTCCATCAAAGAGAGGTGACAGACCTGTGTCTTCAAACTCTGTGCAGCTACAGAAATACTATTGTTTATCACTGATTGTAGAAATACATCAGATCACCCACTGCTGTGAGCAGAGATGTAGCAGGTTTGAGAAGTAGTAAATATTTTGGCCTGGTTATGTTGTGCCCCTTCCTGTCATTGTTGGGTCATATCAGCAAAAATGTCTTTACAACACAACAAACCAATTATTTCCTTAAGTAAATGTTAGACTAGACCGTGTAAACAGAGTATCAGCTACTTGTTTGTCTGTGTGGAGTTAAGATAACATCTCCCATGATCCCAAGCTGCTGAAAACCCTCTCCATATGCCATGTTAATTAATTGTAATGGCTGAGAAATCAACAAGAGTAGAAAATGGTAAACAATGTTGTTTTTGGTTGAAACCGATGCACATAAAACATCATTATTGTCTGGAGGTTGTGCACTGTTTCCTCTAGGACTACAGAGAAATCGCCTTATTTATTTATTTATTTTGTCATACATTCTGGACAAATAGAAACGTCTGTTAAAGTACGTCATCTTTTCAAGACTACTTGCCAACTACCATAAGCATCAGAAATGATATGATGACTACATCCAACTTTTATACACAAACCAAAATTTGATTATATTTGTTTTCTTCCACAAAACAATAGGAAATGTGAAATTTGGTCAAAATGAACTGCTCCGGCCTTTGTTCCTCTGGGAAATGAGAAAAACGTGCTTTTTATATTAGGTAATAATCTCTGTGAGTGTCCCTGTAAAAAATCGGAGGATACGTGATTCACAGCGGTGAGGGGCCACATTGAACTATCACCTATTCTTCTCTCCATGTGCTCTTCCTTTTCCATAGTCTGCCAGTTTCCTGCCAGTTTCCTGAGTCTGTCTGGAGCGCAGGCTTCTAAACAACTGCTGACCCCTATTGTAAGTTAAACTCTAAGCAAATAGAACTGAAGGACATCCGGGAATGGGGACCGTCCACAGTGAAAGCCAAGGAGCTTGTCCAGATGTTTCAGGCAAGGCCAAGGGCCAAAGGATCACATTTTAAATCTGTGTGCTTCACTGTGGGAAACATGGTACCTTGCCAAAAAGAAAAAGATAAGGTTTTGGTCATTAATAGTAAATATTTATAAGTCACCAATCCTTCCACAGTGGTACTGGTTAAACAAATCAATACAAGCTACAATACTACTGTATAGTGTACACTAGTACCACGTACAAGCATTGTTAGCCTACCCAAAATAAAACACCATCAATTTCCTTTGATTTATTCCTTTGAATAATAAGAGAGTTTGGTGTAGTTCATGATAACAAAAGAACACATTAAAAATACCATGTGTTAAAATGAAATGTCTAATGTTTAATTGTTATACTTTAGTTTATGTTTATGAAAAATATGGATATTGGGAAAAAAGTTAACTCTAAGCATGTGTATAATACAACAGCACACATACAGTAGTGTACAGCTGCAGCACAGCCAAGCCTTTACCCGATTTGATACAGAGGTCGTGACCTGAGTACACAAGAGAGACGGTGATCTAACTGGACACAGGTGGAACACTCCAAGAGCAGGCAGACAATCACAAAAGCAGGAAAAGGAGACAATGATAGGAAGTAAAAAAGCCAACAGACACATGGGCCGAGTGATATCAGGATAAAACGGGAAATAATAAGAAGCCAACGAGGTTAGTCGTCAGAGGAGCAGAGTATGGTACACATCTGTGGTTTATTATATATATTTTTTCTAATGTTAACTAAACCAGTAGCTTTTAAGAGTTCCTGCAATGCTATGATTGTGTGTGTTCAGAGTTGACTAATTATTACAGTCTCCGGTCCAAATCTGGAACTCCAAAAACCACAAGTGAAGTTTTCCACCATTTTTAAGGTGTAGTGACAATAGTCTCTTCCAGATAAACAACCTTGAGAAAAATATTTGTGCACTGCGATAAGGTTTTAATTAAAACTTTGGTAATGTTTCATTTCAACAGCTAAGTTCAGCTGATTAAACCACTAATGAACTGCAGAGGGAGCCATAGAAAATGTTTACACTCTGTTTCTAAAGTTGAGGGTTACCCAGAACAGTTAGGGATTTATTTGATGAGGGGGAAATAACTCAAAGTAACAAAAAAATATATATAATAAAATCTGAATGTGCCTTTTAAATTGTCATTCAACCAGAGATGAAGAGATGAAAGTAGCAAATACAAAAAAAAATCTACCTCTAACTAAGAACTTATGAGCCCTGATAATAACAATAATAACTTAGAATAACCCCAAAACAGCTAAATGTGAGAGAAATGGCTAAATAAAACTATCATCTATGATGTTGGCTACATTTGTAGTTGTCTCGTCATGGACAGTGGATTTGTCTTGACTGTTGTAGATGCACATGTGTGTGTCTGAGTGTAAGAGCTCTTGTCAGCAGGACAAAAGGCTGTAATGATTGTTGAAGTGTCTTCCTCTGTGTCTGGTTTACACAGCTCTACTCAGCACTTACACTGTGTCCCTTCTACACACACACACACACACACACATATACACACTCCAAGACCTGAGGACATGCATGATCATTGCTCAGCAGACACAAGCGTCTCTCAGACTGCTGGCCCTCTCCTGGCTCNGTTAACATGTGTACACACTCTCCATCACTCTTCATCCATACACCTCCCCTCTTTCTTTGTTCTTGTCTTGGTTTAATTCTCCGTAGTCCTTTATTTTTGCTGGTTGATTTTCCTGTTTTTCTAAAATTCATTGGAGTAAATCCCGAAGGTTTTTCTGTCCCCCACTAGTCACCGGTGCCGAAAGGTTTTTTTCAGTGTTTATAAGCAAGACGTCTGCAGCTGCTGAGAAGAGAAGAGACCAAACTCAGTGACAGCTTATATCAGAGAGATATCAACTAAAATATCACAGTATTATAAAATTAATGTCAGTAACAACAAAGTTTACAGAGTAATATTAAATAAATATAATATATATGTAAATATTTTGGCCAACAGATAACTCAAATTGAGCTACAACACAATTAATATTAGTTAAATTTGTTTAACAAAACAAATGAACAATTTTTTTTTTAGCCAAAACGATTCTTTTTTAAATAATTACCTGACGATGGGACAATGCTGCAAAATGACTAAACCTTAGCACTGAAGGAGCTGAGGATATTTTTATACATTGTTTATGTTTATGTACAGTTCAGTCAATTAGATAAATTCGATAAATAACTTCAACAACAGATAAATACAAAAACACCCCAAAAGCTCTTAGTTAGCCAAATATCCTGGACAAATGTCAACTTAAACCATTTAAAAGGTCAACAAGGAACTTTGAAACTCGATTTCCTGAATATCTTTGTTGAGGTTCAAAAAATTAAACCCTGGTGGAAGGACTCAAATCAATATTACTGTTTGCTTTTTTTCTGTAGTGATGCCTTCATTGTGTCACTCAGTCCTTCCAAATAAAATATTAACAAGGCCTATTTGCTTTTAATCAGATATGTATTGATTTCTGCCTGATGGTCAAAATGAATCATAGTCTTGAGACAAACTAATTTCCTTTCTACCCTGACACACCTGAGTGACCAGGAAGTTTTTGACTTTAACACGTGTTACTCACGTTGTATTACAGTAATTACTGGTGTCAATGGATTCCTGTGTTTGACTTTACTGGCTGTCTAGTCAAGAAAAAGTACACAGTTATTTGAAACAGAATGAAAATAGAATCCTGTAACTGTTACTGTAAGTTTTATTCTTAATCATGACAACATCAACACTGTCTGTACAGTCGGTCACCGACACACTGGCCTCAAATGTCCTTTATATCTGTGTCCAACTTTTGTACACATGCTGGACGCCACCCCCCTCCCCCGTCCCTTCACTCCCAGACAGCATTCCTTCATCTATTAATGTTCTTTCCTGTCTCTGCAGCCATCACTGTTTTTACAGTTCTTGACCGGAAACCAAACAAATTAACACTTCATTGTTCCAGCAGTTACGTTATAGCTGGAAACATCAGTGCAGCAATAGCTTCCTGAAAACCCACATTAATAAGCAGGGGCCAGTGTGTTTGTGTGTGTGTTACCCAAACTCAGGATTACATTTTCTCTGGAAACCTGTAGCGTAACCACATTAGGTACATGGGAAGTGTGGTCACATGCAGGGACACTGCCCTCTGTGTGCTTTCCCTTCTGCACTTGGTTTTGTTGGTAGGATATTGTTACTTGTGGAATATAAACTTGGTCAGTTGCAGAAATGCAAGTCCAACACTTTAAAATAATTTAAATACATTTAAATAAAATTCTGATTAAATTTAACTGTCACTGTCAATATATGTTAATATGTCTTTATGAACCGTAAAACTACTCTTGGTAATAATCCTTATTAAACAAATTGTAGGATCTCAGCACAGACATGATCAGGTGTTTAATATTATTTCTCAGAATTTCACAGTGTCATACTTTTTTTTCTGTAGCTAAAAAAATATATAAATTGCAGGTAAAAAAACCCAACAACATTTAGTTTTTTCCCAGGTGCACCGTGAGTCAGGTGATGTCTAACAGTGGAAAGTTTGACTTCCCTGCTCCAGTTAATAATCTGTGAGAAGATCTGCTTTATATTGCTTCACAAATCACTTGGGTCCTAATAGCACCTTAATCTATTCATCGGATGTTTGCAGCATTTGGCCATAGCTATTTATTATGGCTGTGTGCGTCCTGCCAGGGCAGCTTGTTTGAGCAGCTAATTGTTCAGATGGACTCTCTCTAATTTGGATGGTGAGGCAGAAAATCCTGTACTCTTCTGACTAGCATGTGAATACTTTTAAAACCTCGCTATCTCCCATTTGGATATGGCCTAATTGAAAAGTAAATAGTACACCTGAGTGCACCCATGAATCGGTGAGTGATATCTCCTTAGCTGCCACAGGAATGGATCTCTGCCATTGGGCCCCTGCGTCCTCTGTCCTCTTTTCCATTGCTTTAAATGGCTTCGCTAACGCATTATCTATTGGAACATTGCTTTTGGGGGATTAATGTTTCAATGTGGATCCTTCACACACAGCAGTAAGTGGTTTCTGGGACATCAGTCCTTTGCTGCTGACTGCTTGGGATTCTTGACAATGACAACTTGAAGAGGATTTAGTGTTTTAGAATGACAACAATTATTTAGATGTTAAAAAAACATATGAAATGTCTTCAGTATTTGGTTGTTATATACAGTACTTGATTCAGCCGATTACTGTACCTCAACCGAAACACAGCTGCGGCAGTAGTGAAGAGGAACAGAAAAAGCAATAACACCAATAACTACCAATAATGGGAGCAGTGAGCGACCTTTTTGACATTACGCCACAGGTATTACACTTGTTATCCAAGCATACAACCACAGCAAAGGATGAAACTGTCTTAAAAGAGAGACAGAGAGAGCAGGAAGTTAAACTCTGAAGGAACCTCTGAAGGACATCAATAATGAAACGTTCTCAAGACCAAGGAAAACAGCCTAAATAAAGTTGGTCAGTGTGTCACTGGTCAGTCAGTCCAAAAAAAGTCCAGAATAAAATCTCACATGTTCTTTGATGAACTTTAAATACTTAATAAATACTTTTAATTGACTCTGTGTATTATTTTACTTTGACTTTTTGACTTTAGCCGGTTGACTTGCTCAGCCCTGGCTGCTGCAGTGCTGCTGACACACTCTTTTTCCCTTCAAGTAAACACTTGTTTCACTTCTGTGTTTTTTTTTTAACTGAATGAGTGTCTGTTCAGTTGAAAATGTTCTCCTGATGACCTGTGTGGGTCTCATTGTATGGTGTTGCAATGACTTTCATTTGAAGAAATGACATCATCAGGTCATCAGGTTGGACTAGGCCAGATGTCAAAAATATTTAAAGAAAAGCCTGTACACTGTGTGTTGTGGAGATAAACGCCCAATATTTTGACTAAAATACTGCATAAATACTGCAATACTTGTTTGGTCTCTACACATATAAGTTCCTCGGCTTCTACCTCACCTTTCCCTCCTCCTCTTCCTCCTGCTCCTCCTCTCTTCACCTGTGTGGCTGCTGGCGACACCAGTATCGATGTGAGTGGTGTTTTCTCTCATTAATTTATCAGCTCAGCGGAGGAGGCAGGCCTCAGCAGGGGGAGATAATGGCTTCCATTTGGCCAAGGTCAACAGTCAACACATTCCTCAGTCGTTCAAATATAACCACACATTAACTTGTGTGCACCAACACCAGTGGTGCACACACACACACACACAAGCACACGCACGAGGCTAATAGACTGTTGTGCCACTGTCTCGTCAATAAGGTTTTCAATCCTTTTACTGTGCTGAATACACTGATCCTTGATCAGGAAATCAGTTAAATACCTTAATGGTCAACGTCACCTAAAAACTACAGACTGATAGAGAACCTCAGTTCAGCAGCACCTCATTTTTGGGCTGCAGCTTTTGGTTGTCTCATACACCTGTTTTTGTCTAATTGTCATATTTAATGACCATGCTGCTGTTGATGTCACAGAGAAGAGATCCAATCATTAACAGAGAAATCACCCATCACTCACACCTACAGTGTGTGTGTGTGTGTGTGTGTGTGTGTGTGTGTGTGTGTGTGTGTGTCCAGAGCAGACAGGCCCTCTGAGAGCAGGCTATCGGCTGAACATTTTACCCACCAACTGTGTGCTGTATTCCTCTCTGTGTTGACTTTATGCTGCACAATTTGTGAACCATTACACAATACAGAGGCTGAGATCAATGTACATACTGTTGGTTTTGGAATAGTCATGTTGGTGTGAGGCCGTTGACCCTCTGTACACCTGCACATGCAACACCAGCGGGTTATAAAAGATTAGAGGACGTTGACCTTGAAAAATCAAACTCAGTTTAAAAGATTAAGCCCCCCCATTCCTGATTTAATCCCATACTTGACCTTTATTTTATCTTCAAATTGTCCAACATATTAAAAAGCACTGAGGATATCACATCTCTATCAATCAGCAGGTTACTATCTCTGTGTGCTGTCCCTGCTGCTCTGAAGGTTCACTCAATCATTAACCTAATCTACTTACTGCAAAACTCCCACTCAGTATGTTCATGAGAGCCGCGAGATAAGCTATTTGAAGATGAAGGTGGTGATGGGACAACGATCGACGTGGACAAACTGTTTGCTAACCTGCCTTTGATTCCTCTGGAAATCAGGAGACAAGGGGAAACTGCTGAATGAGGAGCAGTGATTGGGAATCTGAATCAACATTTGATCGGAGGTTCAATTGTTAAAAAAATGCTTGAGCTAAAGTTGGAGAAGTTACAGCATATACATACAGTATATATATATGAATAGTATATACTACAGTATATAGTATACTGTATATATACTGTGACACATTTCAATTATATATTTTATAAACATTGATACATTTTGGATTTTCTTTGCCATAATTATTTCCTACGTAACTCATGTTAGATAAGGAAAACTCCTCCCAAAAAGTAGTCAATGATCTGAACAGGACAAATGGTGTGGGCCACATTTTGTTACGAGATGCCTTTTGGTCAACCGGTGACAAAACCCAGTGGGCCACACGGCTCTGTGGGTTTGAATGATGCTTACACTATGAGTATTTCCAGTGTTGCACAAGCAGCCTATTAGCACAGAGCTTTGTTTCAGCTTCATCCAACCCTGTGTTTACTTTGTAAACTCCATTATTGTGCTGCAACAAACACACATCCTCGCAGCATGTCTGTCAAATCCTGAACATGTAGTCATGGTTGTCCTCATTTATTGTGAATACTTTGGGACAACCGACACAAACCATTGGCAGAACATTTCAGTAGGCCCAAATAAAGGTAGATTGTTTTTATTTATTATTAACACAACATTTAACACCAAATCATAAGGTGATCCATAAATGAGTTTGAATGTGATGTCTCATTTAATTCCACAAGACGGTTAAGAGCATTCCTGATTTAAAAACACATACAGTACAAAGAGAATATTTTACAGTATTTGACAAAACACACAATACTAACAACCAGAAAATACACAGTACTAACAAATACGACACAAATACTAGCTATTATACACAATACACAGAAGAGACTACTTTATCAGATTGTCTTAGTGATTGGAAGTGAAAAGGTTCAAGTCTAGTCTTTTCAGCCGTCTCCTCTTCACCCCCTTCTTCTTCCCTCCTCCTGCTCCTCAAGGCAGACTGGACACAGCCTCAGTCTTCAGTCTATGGACTGGGTCCAGAACTTCCCTGCGCCTCAGAACTGCCGACTCCTGGATAATCCCTCATCGTCCTCCTCTATGTCCAGCTCCAGGTCTGAGTCTTCAGACACGTCAGAGTCCATCTCTGCGTGGAGCTGCTGCTGTGGAGACGAGGACACGGACACCGCACAGCGGCCCGCCTGCGTCTGCTCAGAGGGCGCGCCGCTCTGTCTGTGCTCCGGGCTGTGGAGCACGGGCCCCTCGGTGCTTTTATTACTCCTTCCCGCGGAGGTGTCGTCCTCCAGCTCCCTCTTACCTCCCGGAGGATTCTCCTGTTCGAAGATAGAAACGCGGTGGGGTTTACACCAGGACTTTCTCCTGGAGGCGGTGCCATCATGTCATCACACTCACCTGCTTTAGTCTCCTCCACTTTGCGCGTCGATTTTGGAACCAGGTTTTAACCTGTGTAGATGACCCAGAAAATGAATAAACTATTGTATTTGTACGTTTAAAAATACAATGTAAAATGTGCGCGGGTTAAACTGGACTTTAATGCCTAAAATGAATGTGAAACTGAAATAGAAAAAACCGAACAAGACACCGTATCCACGTTTTACATCTTTCGCCTGTTTAAACTAAATTTATCGAGTAAAAACTTTTACTATAATTAATGTAATCGTGTCATAGACGCACTAATAAATAATATACCAAATCTAAATAACATAATGATAATAATAACAATAACGACAATAATAATAACAACAATATAATAATAATATAATAACAACAATAACAACAACAATATAATAATAATAACGACAATAACAATAACAATATAATAATAATAATAATAATAATAATAATAATAATAATAATAATAATAATAATAATAATAATGTATTGTTTTGTGTAATATAATATTAACTGAAGACATTTTATTATGGATGGTAAAATGAAATGCGTTTCTGTTCCTCGGACCTGTCTCTCGCTGAGCTGCAGCATCTTGGCCAGTCTCTTCCTCTCTGGGGGAGACAGATACTTCTGAGTCTCAAACTTCTTCTCCAGCTCGATGGTCTGGTCGTTGGAGAACCGAACCTGTCCTCCTTTTCTCTTGTGGAGAGGCCGCTGGATAAAAGGAGTCCACAGAAGAGGTTTCCCTGCAGAGGAGAGGACATTAGACAGGATCAGGATTTTAAATATTCAACACACGTTAGCGTCTGTCATAAAACTAAAATCAAATCGAATAAAATCATTAAAATGTCACAAACTCAAAGTTTAGACATTATTTAAACCAATCCAAACCAATTCACAATCAAAGACCAATGATTGATATTAGAGGTTATAGAGCCCCTTATCATAGTTTTTGATAAATGATCTATTTTGGAATACACGTAACTCGAAAAGCAAAGATAAAATTAAATACAAAATAAAAAATACATACGAGCTTGTGATAAATGATATTATATTATAATAATAATAACAACAGTAATTATTATTATTATTAATATTGTGTTGGATTGTTACAATAATTAATATCCCGCTGTTATTTTTCACTGCTTCACATTTACTGCAAGAGATGCCACTGCAATGCCATTAGTCATATCAGATTAGTTAACAGGACGCACCTTATTTTATATCATCGTATCATATATTTGGACCACATGAGATTGGTGCTGAGATTTGTAGATTACAAATGTAGAGCACATCTCGGGACAGACCTGGGATCAGTGTGTCAGATAAAAACCCACTGTCAACACGTCGTGCGACGTGACAGTGGAGCATGTAGCAGCGGCGTGACTGTGAGAGTGAAAAGGATACAGCAGAGTAATCAGTGCCCTTTCCTCTGCTGTTGAAGTTCCTCCTCCACCTCCTCCATCACCACCTCCCCCCGCAGTGCTGCGGTCTGCTGATGCCTGTGTCTGTTTCTCTGTCTGTCTTTTGAGGAAGGTCGTGACGGAGTGAAAACTATGGCCAAATATCCGCTGCATGTGTTTCCTTTGCTTTGCGGTCAGTGATTATGGTCGATGGCACCCACCAGCCAACAGACACACATCAGCACCGCCGCCTCCCCCACCTCCTCCTGACACAATATAACTGTGCTGTGGTTGAGAATGCTGCTGTCAAACACCCTCTGATTGCTTTCTCCGAGGGGAAGTTAGCTAATCCGCAGCCATGTGATGTGTTTCTCAAAAACCAAACATGTCGAGACATTTGATGAAGATACAAAACTGATGATGCGTTCACTGCATCAAGATATAAAGGCCTATCAATAAGAAGGCGAATGACGGCACACATGTCATACCCAAAAAATCGAAGACAGCTCAATAGTTTCTTTTTCAGAATATTTTAAATGAATTTACCAATTGTGGAGGCTTCATGGTTACTCTCACATTTGTTAGACTTGTATTCCCTGATATTAGGCCTTTAGACTTATAATCAATACAACTACTTAATAAATACATTTAAATAACGCAACAACAGACATTTTTGGAAAATAATATTGTTTTGATCTGAATCTAAAAGTGACAACGTCTTGTCATAATTAAGTTTGGGTCTGTTTTACAGATTATCCAGCTATTAGACATTGCATTGTAATATATGAAATATTTTAAAATAAATCTAAAATAATACGAATCGGGGCTATTGTTTTGTTTTGGTTTTTTTTTTTATCAGATGATGAGAACTGGAGTCAATTAATTGGTTTTTGCTTCTTAATCTGGCGACAGACTAACGAGCATATTTTACTGAAGAACAATAAAAAAAGAAAAGAAAAAAACGAGTATTTTGATTAATTGACATAATAATCGTCTAATCACTTGTGACGCTCTTGTGCGTCAGTGCCAAACCCTTCCTCTCTTATTATTCTGTAGAAAAGGAGTCTTAATCTTTTTGTCTAAGCTCCCACAAGACCTGACGTCCAGCTCTGTTTCCTTTATGTTCTCCTCCTCCTCATCCTCCTTTTCTTTCTTTGCCGCCCAGCAGAAAGAAAGAAAGTCGGCCACATCCTCGCGTGCTCATGCACAGGAAGTGTAACAATATGTGAAAAACGGATCCCGGGCTATCAGAGGCCGAGTGTTTCCTGAATATGTCTGTATTGAGGATGTCGATAAAATAATCAGCAGCGTGCAGCGGGCTCCCGAGGAAGCGGCTGGTCGGGGTGAGCCAGGAAAACATTTAACAGCTCCTGAAAGCAGATTTACTCCCATCCACAGCCTCACGGCTTCCGCCAGGACCGGAAAAGGCCCAGCTTGTTCAGCGCAGCACGGAAGAGCCGGAGTCAGGCGCTGCGCTTTGACGCACAACGGCACCGCTGTGCAACTTTGAAGGAATCCAACTGATAAACATAAAAAAATGATCTATTATAGTTCGGAATTCTCACATATTTGTTAGGAACAAAAACAATAATTGCAGCAGTGGTTTCCTAACGTTTGTAGATATCGTTAATATATATTTTAAAAAATCACTACATTATTTGTATTCTTACTGAACAAAAGAAATTAAATGACAAATCGGTGCATTTTCCCCTTAACATTTTAGTTCTCGCAGTTTTTTTTTTGTTTGTTTCACAATTGTTTTCAGCTAACATTCAGCTTTGCCTTGTTTTATTTTTAAGTTAGTTCTTGGCTAAATTTCCAAGGTACTTTTTTGCTAACACGATGATTATTCATGTGTTTGACTAACTTTATTTTATAGACTGATTTCAGCAAGTGGTTGGCTAACAATAAACTAATCAGCTATTTAAGATTTACTTGTACTTTTTTTTTCATTCTGACTAATTCTAACGTGTTTCAAAGACATTTAAAGACCTCCCTTGGTGTTGGTGAAAGTGTTTTTATCTCTTTACATTGGCACAAGTTTTATACTGTTATCCTCGAATTATAATAATTTAATAAAAAACTTCAAACCAACTTTTTCTTAATTGTCAGCAAGTCTTAGATTGCCACTTATCTGCTGACCCAGGATCCAGTCTAGGATAAAATAAAAACCAAAAACGTTTTTCATGCCAAAGCGACATAAGGTTCACTGTCATCGAAGAGCTGAGCTGAAACCCTGCATTGAAATAGAATCATGAACTTATCCCAGCTGATTTTGTTTGGATCAAAATAACAAATATATAACGCAACACGTCGCTCCTCACACACCGTTTGTTCCTATTCACTTTCTACATTTTTTGACTTATTTGACTTGTGCGTACTGCTGCGTAAAACCGTTACAACAACGAGTACTGTCGCCTTTTAATGAACAACATTTGGAATACGTTTGAACCAGTGTTTTTACGAGAAAGTCTTCTCTGTGGTCTGATGTTAAGCTTTATTATTTAAAAAAAAAGCCTAATCCTGTCAAGGGGTGGAAAGGCGTCTAAATGTCCGGACTATTACGTGAGTAATACAGGCGAGCTTCTATATATGTGAATCCAATAATATAAAAGACCTCAGGTTATATCAGAATATGAATGTACATACACATGAGACATCAGAGAGAGGGGAGAGGGTTGACAACATGTGGTTTAGGGTCCAGATATGTTTTAGTCACCGCGGTTCACTTGTTTCTCTGATGTTTCAGAACAATGGGAGTCAGGAAAACGAGTCAAGGCTGCCATGCACCCACGCACACACACCACCCCCCCCCCAACACCTCCAACACGACCACCATCGACACACAACATAAAGCTGCTGTCACTGAACCCTGGAAAATGTAGGTCACATGGAGGCAAACCTGTCAAAAGTGGTGTGTGTTTAACTAAAAATACTAGGTGCAAATATGACAGTATGCATGTCATCATTTTGTTTTTGGCTCACTGACGTTGTGGTCTGTGGCACAGTAACGTGATTCTTCAAATGCTGTGTTGAAAAAATAGAAAGTAGTCCATTATGTGTTGAAATGAGTCAAAGCCTTGAAGCAACTGCAGCCGTGACTCCAGCCTCTTGTTTATGTCTAACTCGTCACACGCGCACGACCAAGCGTGGTATATTCATGCAAAACAGTTTCCTTGCCACGAAAACGTTTTTACTTTTGCGAGAAACTGACCGCTTTTGTAAAATTTTGTAAAAGTTTAGCAATTAATAAGAGTGTGAGAAAAGAGAAACAGTGTCATGTCCAAACGAAAATGAATGAAGCCATTTTTAAATAAGCCGTTTTCACCACAAATTAAACGTGACACTTTAATACAGGGTAAACATTTTTTTGAAAAACCATATGGCTTTTACGCACGACAACTCACCGAGAGGGTCCCGCCGGAGCAGCGCCTGTGCGTACTCGCCCATGGAGCGGTGGTGCTGATGATGGAACGGGTAGAGGGGTCCGGCAAAAGGTCCGGCCGGGCCGTACGTGGTCGTGAAGGCCGCCGCAGTGTGGTGGGACAATGCCGGGTGGATCGGCGTGGGTTCGTAAATCGGAGTCCGGTAGGGCGAGATGAGACTGGTGAAAGACGAGTTGGGCGACGCGATCGTCGGCGTGGGGATAACCGGCGTAGAGGATGATGGAGAGGAGGAAGATGAGGAGGCGGAGGAGAAAGTGTTAGAGGAGGAAGGAGTCCTTCCAAGAATGTCCTCGATGTAGAAGGGTGTCGGGTGCGTTGGCTGAATGGGAGTCGGTGCGTAAAGTGGGACGCTCATGGTGCCGCTTTTGCGCGTCGGGCGTAAATTCGTCCCCCGAAAGCCTACCTCAAAAGCGACAGTGTGTTCCAGGAACTATTCATTTACATACTACCAGTCATCTCCTGTTCTTCTCAGATGAAGTTCTGTGAGTAGGCCGTAAGCAGACTGTCAGTTCATGCGGGTCGAACTGGAGCAGACCGTTAGAGAGCTTCGGTGTCCATCAGATTGCGGTGGTAAACGAGCTGTACTTGGTCCAACTGTTGAGGCTGTTATCTGGCTGCAGGCGGAGGAGGGCGGAGATAAGCACACGGCCGACTTCCTGCAGGTGGCCAACCGACACTCGTGATTGGTTCAGCCACAGGTCCAATCGAGGTCCACTGATCAAATGACACAGAACGAACTTTAGTGCATTTGAGGAGAATCGGTACAGAGAAGGTACAAAGATGCATACAACACCAGTGAGTTGGAAACATGCACGAACACACAGCCATGATATTTGTTCCCATCGAAATTTCTTACATTATTTTTTTAACGTCCTTCCTTCAAGGATAATTCGAACCATTCTCGAACAGAGTGCTGTTGTAGGAGTAAGACAAAACAAAGGTTTAATTCTACTTTCAACAAATGATGCTACACAATATGCACATACACAATAATACAGACTAATATATATATATATATATATATATACACATATATATATATATAAATATATATATATATATATAATAACAAAACAAGACCATGCTCATATACTTGCACTATGGTGTAGTGTAGTGATACACTAAATTAGCAAAGATTCAAAATACCCGTCCTTTAGGGATAATCTGCAAATATAAACCTAGTTGTAAAGTCAGTACAGGAAGTGACCAATACCACACACTAATGTCACGATTGTAAAGCAATCACTCATTACGGCCCATTATCGGTTATCTAGAAGCTTCTTTTGATACTAAAGACCGGGCATATCTGCTTCTGCTTATCACGTTAGTCTTGTATTTGTATCGAGTTCCCTGTTCCTCTCAGATATGGGGCCTCTAGAAACAGACAGGAGCACGCACATAATTACCGCTGTATTGTAAGTAAATCGATTTCAACCCTAAATTTGTTTATTATGTGATTTTTTTTATCACTGTAGATACAATCCAAGTTGTTAGGCCTTCGATTAGCCTCTGATCAACATATTTGTATGGAACAATCAGGAACAGGTCATACTGATGTTAAAGTAAAACTTTTGCAAGAAAAATACTGGTATGATATTCCACATAAATCCTTGTGAGATCTGGCAAAACAAATGTGACTTTTCCTACTTTACTTACAGTATGTTTTGTTATGATACTCACGACGACAAAATAATCATAGAGACAAGAGGACAGGTACAAAGGGTAGGCTCGGGTCTCATGAACGACCTCTGTTGAGTGTTCGTTAAAAGTCTCTTTGACTAATCAAACCGTTTAGTCGTATCTGTCTGTGTATTACAGCTCTATAACGGCGCGCGCGCGCGCGGGTGTGTGCGGGGGTGTGTGTGTGTGGGGGGGGGGGGGGGGGTTGATTAACTCATCATTTGAATGTGTGGACTTTTCCTGTCAAAAGATGTCTATCAGTGGGACTGGGATGATACATTTATCATAATGCAAATGCCCCTTTAATGGCTCTCAGATACGTGTCCGTTAAGTGCGCCTGTTAAACACTAGCCAATAAAGTGGAGCAGTTTTTACGAGTGCACTGCGCGCTTACTGCATACAAGTCTTTGCAGAGACAAATGTTTAATAGTTGCTAGTTAGATTCCCCGCCCTAGTGCAATTTTGCTAATTCAGGTGTTGGATCTCAAATTGAGCAGGGTATTTAATCTAAGGTCTACTTTCTAAAAGGACATCCACCGAGAAACCAGGATTTCTAAATGCTGCATTGGCAACAGGGATGTAGTTTCACTTTGTTGACATCAACACTAACAGTAATGTCAAAAGCATTAAATCTGTGAGCCAGGTTGCTTCTTTCTGATTAATACGCTCACAGATGTAGGAGGCGATGGTTCGATTTCCCTGACGCGTCTTTAAAACGCGCACGCTGACTGCCAAACTTTCTAACCGCTGCAATTTAGATAAAACAGACTTCGAGGGCAAATAAGGACGTGGACAACCTTGAAGACATGAAAGAAGTCACCACACGGCTAATATTTGGACCGAGACAATGATTAGTGCTCATTGATCCGGGCAGCGCGTCCCGTGGCGTCAGACTGCTGTCCAGGAAGGATTGATAACTTCACAGCACGGGCTGGTGGTGGCATAGCTGCTGCTACTGCTGCTCAGCGGCAGCTGGCGCCATAAATATGTCGATTAGCAAGGCTGAAGAAGCAGGGGCATGTAAATACAACCTGCTGCCCAGGTAGAGTTCTACAGGGGAGGGGGTGAAAGGGGCTGTTTTAATCACATTGGTTTGTTTTTTCTGGTTTGGGATTTTTGTCACTTATTAAGCTTTTCTAATCTACATGAAATCTCCAGACACAAAGTCCGTCGATTCAAGCCATTTCATAGTAACACACCTTTGCATGAGTAAAACAAAAACAATAAATGTCAGGTTTGAGTCACTGGTTCTGGCATCATCCTACTCATACTGTGGTCTAACTGCTCTGATATCACCGTCTGTTTCAACAGCAGCAGCAGCAGCCTGATTAATTACTGCCCATTGTCTGGCAGCAGCCTTATCAGTTCATACAGGACACCAAGTTGACTGCATGGATTGAAGTGATACACGAGTTACTGGCTGCACAACTTCTGGAGAACTATGACATGGATTACTGAAAATCTACGTGGTAAATCTTTGAACACAACATGAAAGCTTTGGCTTTCAAAAAAAAGAAAGAAAGAAAGAAATGGGAGAATTTCAAAGAAAAAGTAAAGACAAGACTTAGTTTCACTTGGAATATGTAATCTGGAAAATAAAAAATAGTCCTGCTCCTAACACAACATAGGATGCTGTACTCCACACATAGATTTGTTTGATTTCCATATACTGTGTTTTGTTTTTACAGTGCTCAAGAACTGATAATACATCAAGTGCTTTAAGAGACTTAAAAATAAAAAGTCAGCATTTACAGATATTCTACACCAATAAACAGTACTATCTGGTGTTCTCTCATATTTAACACAAAAAATACAATATCACTTCAAATGTTGTCATCAGCAATGTCTGATTGTTTCGTTATTTCTCCTGGCACAACTGAATAGAGAGCTGTAAAAAAAACCACGATAAGTAAACTGTTCACTTACCTTTTTCATTATAACTCTGTGAGAAAACGTCTAAGGAAAAATACAACAGATGAGGTAAAGAGTTGTGATCAGGTGTGATCATTCATTTCTAAACTATAATTATTTACAGAGCAAATAAAAGACAATACATTTTTTTTAAAAAAAAAGCTGATCATAAGTCCAGTGTGAATTGAAGACATTGGACTGATGTGACCCAAAAAATATCAGTCAAGCTGGTATCAAGTGGTGTTTTCCATTTTGGTTGTTTTTACAAGGTTTTCCTCAGATTTTTGCTCAGATTTTTCCTCTAAGTTCTTGTCACATTTTAGCTCTGATTTCTTGTCACATTTTTTCTTTGTTTTGTCTTTTGACTGTTTCTCATTCTGCTCAGTGTCCGGGCAGGGCTGCAGAGTACGCATGACATTTTCCAGTGTCCACTGCTCCTCGTGCAGGGTGTGCTCCTCCAGAGTGAACTGACTCTGTTTGGTCCGTACTAGTGACTTCATGTGAGCACAGGATGACAAAGCTGTAGAAAACAAACACAGATCATTACTCAGGAAAAACAGACAGCTGAGTGATATCTGAAATGTATTATTATTCATTGTTTAAATAAACGAGCAATATATTCGAGATATTCATGATGAATATCACCTTTCCCCAGGTCATCTACCAGGCTTCTGACATAAAATCCTCCACCACACTCAATATCTGTCAAAAAAAAAAAAAAGTCTGTTTACATTTTTAGACATATAAATACAGTGGGAAACATATTACATGACACGTTTTCAAGAAGCCAGCATTCAAAATAAGAAAATTGAGAAAAAAAACTGACCCAGAGTGAAGAGAGGAGGCTCAAACTCCTGCAGGGTCAGGTTGTACACGGTGACCGCTCTGGCAGGTTTGGGCTCAACCTTTTGACCCGTGCTCATCAAGTGAGACATACGCTGGCCGTCCTTTTTCAGAGCAGAATAGCTGGAAGGTCGAGAATCAACGACTCAGAACAAAATGAATGAGGCAAAAGCTGCACTGAGGAAAAACCCGAGACCCGCTAGTGACATCTAGTGGCTACAAAATTCGTACTAATATTTATTAGTTCATTGCCTATCAGTAAAATTAGTTTTATAAAAATAAAAAAAAGTATCAGCAGCATTTTGGGCATAGTCAGCACTTTAGAAACAAGGAACGAAGCATTTTGAGTTGTTCCATTTTGATATTGCTGTATAAAAGCAAGTAAGCATCATGCAAGTTTTACTCACAGTGGTGGAACCTGCATGATGTTGCCAGTGAATGCTTTGAGCTTTTCCTCAATGTCCATTCTGGTGATGTGATCTGTCATATAAAGAACAGCAGCAACAAACGGTCAGAAACAAAATTGAGTTCTTGTTTCAGCACTAAAAGTGTAGATTTTAAATAGTGGCTAAGACAATGTTATTCATGATCAATGTATTACCAAAGTCTTTCTCCAGAATCACTTTGCCAGTAGCATCCAGTGTGTCTGTTGCTTTACCCAGTTCCACCACAGCAGTGTATTTCTTAAAAAGAAAACACACACACACACACTGTTGTTTAGTCTCTTGTATATCTGTTTATATTTTCATTAAAAAGGACACAGTAATTAAAGACAGACGGTACAGATGATTATTATTATTAATAATAAATAGTACAATATATAATAATAATAATAATATATATTATTACTAAATATATAGTAAATCAAATATGCAACACCAGAAGGCCCTGACCAAAAAAAATGAATATGATTCTTTCTCAATAAAGTTTTTGTAAACGTCATATTTAATGAGTTGCACAACAATTTAAAAATACAAAGACTCACTTCAAGTGAGAAGTGACTCAATTTTCACTGTGCAGCAAATATCTACATACGTATTCTCTTATCCATACAAAAACATCAGAAGGTCAACAACCCTTATTTTGCAAATAAATTAACTTTTTTTTAAAGGAAACATGTTACTCTCACCTTTGATCCAGTCAACATGGTGCTGAGCATTTTAGTGCCTTTTCCTACTCCAACAACTACAAGACCAGAAAGAGCATATAGGGAATTAAACCAACCTTTTCATAATCAGTGTATATTGCATGAATTATTCTAATTATATTTTACTGTAATAGTAGAACTAATAAATCAGAAAACGTTCGAACTACATAAATTGAAACCATAAAAGTATATAAAAGTGATATCATTATTAAAAACATCTCTGGACTATAAATACAGACAAATAACCATCAATTGATGGACAAAACGTTGGAATTCAGCTGTGCACTAACCTAAAACTCCACTGGCGGGACTGTCCAATGTTCCTCCATGTCCCACCTTTAGATCATGCTTCTGTCTCTTTCTTGGGTTAACGTTTTTTACACCGGCTTCTAAAAATCATCAAATAGAAACAATTGACGATCAGCTTAACCGAACACTGGGCGGCAAAGTTAATTCCATATAAACGTCATGTGTTTTCTTTACCTTTAAGCAAAGTCTCTTTAAATTCATTTAAGACGTGTGCAGATGTTGGTCCTTGTTTTTTATAAATAGCACACAGTCCATTCAAAGACAGAAGTTTGGACAGTGTGCTCTTCACCGCCATGTTGGTTTCACTCATGTTGTTTCCGCCAATTCTTTTTCGTGGCTCTGCTAGTGCGTCGACGGTGATGAGAGTTTAGTGTTTACTGACTCCTAGTGATGCAATACCGACACGACCTTCACGATCATACACAACAAAAACACACTGTTTTCACATGAAACATGATTCAAAATGCGCCCAAATGCTTTTACTGATTTATGAACTATATATACCCTTATAGATTTGTTATTCTTAAACCAGGGTAAAACAGTTTAATGGCACATTTGAAACTACAGTAACCAAAATGCTTTGCGCTAGAAACTAGACTTCCTGGTTACTTCAGACGTTTGGCTTCTGTCAACTGAACTAACCGACACAAAAACAGACACGGATCCATTTGTTGTACATTAGTTAAGGTATTTGTGTGTGTTTTAATGTTTAGATTTTAGTATTAATACAACTACTACTAGCACATTCAACTGTATGATTCGCTTTTGCAGTACAAAAGTCGAAGCGATATCTCTGTGCAAAGGTTCCATCCAAATGTTGTCATTTATGTAACTTGTGTTAACGTTTTACCAAAATATATAATTTATAACATGTACAATTTTCTTGATTTTATTTTATTGTAAATGGACCTCCATTCGGCATTCGGAATGCCCATTATGCACGTGACAGCTACAATTGAATCAGAACTCACAATGTGTTGGAATTACTCTTGTATTCCGAGAACATTGGCTGAAAAGGAAGGTAATCGTCGACTTTCTGTATCTTTGCGAAAGTAGTGTTCTTTTTTAAATTACTATAATATTTAGTACCCAACTGACTGAGCCATGTAATCATGTAATAACATGAGATAGGGACGTTGTCTGAGTCTGTGCCACTTAAAGTTTTCACTCAAACTAAACATTACATTATTCACAATGTTGTAAGTAAATTGTAATACATAAAACATATGTAGGTTATACTAAATATTATATGAACTAAATATTATATCAGTATTTGCATTTGCTTCCCAGATGAAAAGGGGAAACCTTTGACCTCAAGATGGAGGATTTTAGGCGCACGTATCTGCGCCTGTGTAAGGAGGCAGGTCTG